CTGACACAATCATCCATTTTGAATGCGTGTGTGTTGGGATAGACGCGTGCTGACGCTTATGTATGGGCACACCTTAAGTTCGGAGGAGCCAATCAGCGCATCGTTATCGCCGACATGCCCTGCTCAGCCAGGGTCTCCAGTTAGTCAAACATTATACAACACAGTCGCGCTGCTGCGGTCCTCTGCAATACATCTGTTAGTGCACGCAAAGAATAAAACGGATAATTTTAACAAGCGATCGCGGTAATGCGCAGATTATAGTCCACAAATATAAAATGTATAACGTAAAAATCACTTTATAATTTATTATTTTATGCAATTTGCCGAGGGTCCGGACAGAGGAGGTCCGGACAGAGGAGGTCGGCGGTCTGGTCGTGGATCGCGGTCCGCCAGTTGAGGAAGGCTGCTGTAGTTTGTAAATTGAATGGCTTTGTGTCTTTGCAGGTACTGTATAGACACCAGTCGCTACTTGACAAATTCTTCGTTTCGTTGAACAGTTTTTTAAATCGTCCAACGAAAGACACATTTCCTCATAAGCGACAAATTAAAATGAATGGTTTTTGTTGTGTCGCTTTTGAAATAGAACGCTGGGAAAGCCAGTTGACGCCCCCAATTACGATCCCAGCCCCCAGGCTGATTGCTCCACTAACACCGGCCCCGCCTCCCTTCACCGCTCCGCTAGACGACGTTGTCTCGCCGCCAGTCACCTCAGCCAAGCAGGCACAAACCCCCAGATTAGTGCGGCGCTATTGCGGTCTTTGCTGGAAAAAGTCTGCCCGACGAGAAGACGAGACATGAGACTCCGCTTTTCCCATCAAGACTAAGTTTGCTCGGTATATTTGAAGCATCTTCGAGCGGCTTTTCAAAGTGTTTCTCTCCCGGCTCAGAGTTCGTCGCTGAGGGCAGACACGATGGGCTGCTGCAGCGGCCGGTGCACGCTCATCTTTATTTGCACCTTACAACTGGTAAGTGAACGTTCTTTGTTGTTTTCAGTGTATTACATATTTTGAATGATGATCACTTTTGCCTTTGAAGTTACACCTTAATGATCTCACGTTTTGTTTGAGATGGCAATTAAACTCCACTGTAAAGTTATAAGCTTTGAGAACACAATTAAGAAACAGATGTGACGTTACTTAGATTTTTTTTTTGACTGTCATCTGTTTTCTTTTGTGATTTTTGTTTTAATTGGTTTGCTGTTGTTAAGTCAATTTTAGGCATATGGTACCACTTAGTGACGTTATCTCAAGGCACTTTACATTTTGAGCAGGCGAAGAACCACACTCATATTTTTCAGAAGAAACTTGAAGAGAACCTGAACTACAGGGGCAAAGGGTGGACAGAGAGAGCAACGAGAGAACAATGGACATTACTTTTGTGTTGATTTCCTTTATGATTCAGGTTGATGTGGTTTGATGTTGTGAGGGAATTTAGCAGCATCTCAAACACCATTGCCTCTGAACAAAATGAAGTAGGCACCTGTCTCTTGGCGAGAATGATAGAGATGCTCTTACTTCCATTTCAAAATGTATGCTTTGTCGTGCATTATTTTTTTTAAGAAATAAAACCTGCATATTTGGGAATCATGCATGATTAGCCACTAGGATTTCAGTAGTTGATTTGTAGGATGTTATTCATGGCTGTATTAAAATGGAGCCTGTTTCCCCACAGCGCTCTCAAGTTAACATTTTAATAGCAGGTGATGAAGACATCCTTCTGTCTTCATTTGTGAGGTCAAATGGGGGCCAAGTGGATGCTGCACATGCAGCCCTGCATCCTTTCTCTATGTTGTAAAGAACACTTTCTTCCTTTGAGCTATACAGCGCATGAGTTGTTTACACCTTGTGACACAACGTGACCCATTTTCGGCCTTTCGATTTGTCTATTTCGGAGTTTGAAAGCTCGAATTGTGCCCCTTTCCTGGATAGTGCACCACAGGGGTGGCACTAAGTTTTGAACAGGGAGCGCTTAGCCCCCCCCCCCCCCCTCCCCCCAGGGAATGCACAGAAACACCAACATATGTGAACAGCTTTAATCTTTCCCCAAAAAGTTGTTAAGAGTGCATGCAAACAAAGCTCACTGTGCTGTGACAAAGTAAGCCACGCCCATCATTTTCATTTAAAAAGAAATTACAGAGAAAAGTTTTCCTCTGAGCATTTAATCATGAATAATGTAATAAAAATCATTCACAGCTTGAATTGCAGTTTGATATTTAATATGTTTCCAAGACTTTTCATCACAAATGACAGCCTTTGCACTCATATTTCTAGTATGTGTAAATGGTTCTCTCATGCCCAGTTCACTATGGATGGAGGAATGATATTATTAGTCCATTGTTATTATCCAGTGATGAAAACCGTTATTGATTGAACTCTGCTTCTGTTTCATGGAGTGTATTTATGCACCGAGTTCACCCTCAAACATCCTTCATCTTCATCTTCATGTGAACATTCAGGAGCTTCACAATGATGTACAGACTAATTGACAGTCGAGTGAGCAGTGGCATGGGACTTTCTGCTGTTAGGCTGGAGCTAACTAATTGTTACTACCAGCAGTGATGAAGACTTAAGCTCTTGAGAATCTTTCTTTTGTCCATCCTTCTCATTCTTTTTTGCTTCTAATCATCTGTCTGTACTACGGCAAGAAAAACTGTTGGGGAATAGGGGAAGCAGAGTCGCAGGGAGATCATAGACTGGATGTCCGGTGATAAGGACGTTCTCTATTCGACTAAGTGGAAGAGATTGGGTAACAAGGCATGACAAGTTCTCTTCACTTTGTACTATGAAATAAATAATGGTAAATTAGGCTAGGATTTAAAATTGTCTTGTTGCTACGTAATATTGAACTTTTTTTGGCTAAAAAAAAACAAAACAAAAACAAATACACAAAAAAAAATAACTGAATAAAATCAATGCAATAATTGCAACAAAATCGTTTAGGGGCCTTGAGAACATTTACGGGAAGCTTCATCCACTCTCAAATAGGCTTAACGACCCCATTGGCACACCCAATCACTAGAATGCACAAACTTTGAATCCATCTTTTAAGGACACACCTGTTCTTCACCCTCCTCCCCCTCCTCCCTCCCAGACGTCAGACCTCATTAGAGAGAAGGGCCATTTGTTAAGAGGTTTATGAAACTGTCAGCAAGCTGCCTGAAAAGTCCCAGAAGACTCCAGGGAACAGTTTTTTTCCCCTCAAAGCGCTATTTCTGGATGACCTGACACTTCCTGTCTGCTGAAACACACATGTGCATGCTTGCATATTTCTGATGAGTTGAAACTAGGAGAAGGGGTCGTGTTAAACTGTGTATGACCTTTAAAAGGTAACCGGGTTAAACATGGGCGTGTGCGCTCGCATTAATGTACAAGCAAGTATGGGGCTTCTTCTGAGGAAACCTATGCATTGACAATGAGCCAGGTTATTCCCAGACCATTACAGGCTAAACGAAAATGAACGAAACAGCATAGACGGACGCTCAGATGTAAAAATAGCTCCTGTGAAGCACCTCGTGTGCTAATTATCTGGGCTGAGAGCTTTGATCAAACCTCGTTTGCCATCCCAGCCATCCCATCGTCTAACTGAATTGTGCCGGGCCTTTTTTTTTTCTTTCCATCAGTGGGCCTAGTGCTGAGACCCTACTCTCCGTGACCGAAGGCATCTGATAATGAGGCTGTATTGATTGAATAGCCACCGTTCCCTCCTCGTTCGGCAGCTTAACTATTGCAGACAGCACTCCTGGATCCCTGTCAGAACCTCAATCCATCCCAGAGAGCGGCCAAGAAGCTTGGGCTGCTTAATGATCTGTTTGTACTCAGAAGAGCTCGTATTATGCTAACAATTGACCTTAAATTGACCTGACATGGAAACCTTGGACATATTAGGGACCTTATCAAAATGCATTGCACTGCGAATGTCAGCGAGTTGTCATGACATAGTATGAGTGGAGATCATTGTAAGTCAGGAATGATTGATGAAGGTGCCCTTTGCGTTGGTCATGGTGGGTTTTCAGTCAATTGTGTTGTCCACTCATGCGTAAGAGCGCAGGACTACTGTGTTAGCTCAGAACACAGAACCTCAAAATAGCAGGATGTAGGGTTGCAGCTCTCAAATATTTTTCGTATTCTCTCAATGTTCCGATCCATTATTCAAGTAATCAGATGAAAACAGGTGTTGCATTATTAAACATGATAATAAGGTGCTGATATTATTGTTTTATTATTGTTGGATTGGGTGTATCTGGCTTTAAAAACCAGGACTTGGTCTGGTGAGTGACGTGGGCACCAGCAAATGAGTTGAGAATTGGCTAGCCGTTCACTGGCCAATGGGTTACCCAGTCTACAGTCATGGAAAAAATACAAGACACCACCTTGTTTTTCTTTTTTTTTTGGGGGGGTTGATTTTAATGCTTAATATAACTATCAAGTGTATAATGTGACTAAGTGACAGAAAAGAAAGCATGGAATATGTAAAAGCACTGGGGGTTTTCCAGTACAGTACCATAGCTGTTGAAGTTAGAGCTTCAGTGATTTTTGTTGTTATCAAGAAGAGCACAGAAAATGACTTGATATCAACTCTTCTGATCCATTTTTGTTGTCCTCTTTACATTTGTCCAAACAAAGTTTAGTCAAGTAGTTGTACCAGGCATTTAAAATCAACAAGTCACTGAAGAAACAGGAGTGATCTAATCATTTTTCTGCTCCTCAGTATAGGGCTGGACGATTCATCAAAATTCAAATTGTGATTTCAATTTTGGCTTCTCTCGATCTTTAAAATGTCGTTGCCAGCCTTCAGCGATATGCTCCATGTAGGTTGGCAAGAGCTGTCGGATTACTTTTCAAAGTCAGCTTAAAAGACCTAAATGACTGCACACCTTGATTGTGACTGCATGACACAAGTTGTTGTTCCTACGATCTCTAATTAATAAACCATGCTTACTCAGGTGTGCTGTTTTAGCCAGCAAAATCGCAACAGTGGTCCTGACAACATTTCATCTGGTGGACCAAAGTCATGTGAGATTTGTTCAAAATCTCACATGACTTTCAGCGTTTTAAAGAGGAAATATCATGCTGCTACGAACAGTTGAAATTTAAGAATAAAAGGTTGATTATCGAAAAATTAAAAGCCAGTTCATCGTTCCTTATATGTGTGTGTGTGTGTGTGTGTGTGTGTGTGGGGGCGGGGGGGTGTTCTGTATTTGTAATTGTTTTTTAACCAAACAAAGTATATTTCTATTTTTATCCAGATACCTAATAGAATTTTCAGTTGGATAACTTTTTTTTGTGGAACCTTTCCTCCTGTGCTTTAGATATTTCTTTGCGGAGTTGTTTGTGCGACTGCAGTAACATGAGTCAAAAATTGATGCTTCAACCCCTTTTTCGTATTCAAATTATTCAAGTGATTCAAATAACTGAAGAAGCCAAACTTTGATGGATGCTGCCTCAGAGAACACCCACAGACTCGGCGGTGTAATCCAAACTGAAGTTAATGGCCTAAAATGTGAAATGAAAGCATAAGCCTTGATATAGGGAGAAGGAGTACTGCTTCATACACATCTTAAGAGCACGAATGAAATGCACAGAGAGCTGGAAGGTATTTTATTTGATATGTGACGAGCAGAAGGTGTCCGTATTCCCGAGGCAGCTTTGGAAACTCCTAATAGTCAGACAGTCCACTTTTCCTCAATTTTTGATGATGTGGAGCAGCTAGCAAATTAACTTTGTACTGGAAGCCTCCGAGAGGGTTCAGCAAAAGTGCTTCCAAGAAAGTTTTTCCCATGTGAAGCAGATCCTGAATAGCATTGTCTCTAAAGGCTAGACGTTATCCTTTGGCATGTTGTCATCTCCCACACATTACAAGGGGTTTAGGCTGTGTTATCCCCCCCCCCCCCCCCCCCCCCCCCCCAAAAAACAGCCACACCGTGCTTCTGCTGCTAATTCTTTTGCTCAATAGACCGTTCATAATT